GGCTCTATATATAACAAAAGCATTCTTACCTTCTTGTGTAAAATAGACACCTCAGTAATCAGGTCCAAGGCTTAATTGCTAAATAGTCCTATTTTACAGCCACTGTTTCAAAGGTTCGTGATGTGACTGAGCCAAGTTGCAGAAAATTAGCTCTTAATTATTGGTGACTATTGATACTGCTGCAAACAAAAACAGTATTTATGCCACACCAATTTATGTTTTCTCAATTTTCAATATTACACTAACCTATCAGTTCCTTAAACAAACCTAAGAGAACATTGAACTAATTGAGCCGGGACAAGTACCGAGGAAGTCACATCGCACTCCCCGCCCGTCTCCTGTGCCCATCCTCAAAACGAGCATCTATGTGCACCACGATATGAGTTAGAAAGGTTGTTTTGCAAAATGAGAAGTATAGATATAGAAAGTTGAGGGTAATAGGAAAAATAAATATATTTCCTTTCTTTCTTCTTAATTTGGTGACAGTTACGTGTTTGAATCCTGTCTGTGTCACTCACTTGTGATCTTAGGCAAGGCACTCAAACTCTCTAGTCTCCAGGTTCCTCTCTGATTAAACAAGGCAGTGTACCTACCTCACAGGAAATCAGGAGACTTAAATGAGTGAATACTTGTAAGGAGCTACGCATAAAGAGCCCGGTTCATTATAGGCCATAAACAGCGTGTTGATCTCATTCATTCGCTCTTCTTTTAAACAAAAAACGTAACCCAGGGGCCTATCTCTTGTTTTTGTTCTTCTAGTGTTGAACAGATAGCCTGGCCCAGAGTTTCTGTTCAACATATATCTTTTGAATAAATGAATTTAACATCCTTTTACTGGAATTTATTTTTTTGATACCATCAGCTCTCTGACATCCTGGAAATATGTTCACATCTCTGCTATATTATTTTCCTTTCCAATACTTTTTGAAATGACAATGTCAATGAAATATGAGGTCTGTCCAGAAGGTATCCAGCCATGCAATGTGGAAAATAGAAACATTCACTGAAGAAGATACAAGATACAAGAATCATTGTGTATAAGACAATGACGCTTCAGTCCCCATCAGGGTAGGCGCCTGGGCACCAACCTCACACCGCTCTCCCAGTCCCCATCAGCTGCCCCGTCGTGTTGTCCTGAATCTCATCCACAGTCTGAAATCTCTTCCTTTTCAAAGGTGACTTTAGTTTGGGGAAAAGAAAGAAGTTGCAGGGCACCAATTCTGGGCCATAAGGGGGCTGAGTCACCTGGGTGATTTGATGTTTCACTAAGAAACTGCATAAGACATGATGCATAAGTGGGCTCCTTGTCACGATGAAGCCGACAATCAGCTTTGCGCATAGCTGCAGCCTTATGAATCATCTGAATAGTTTTCACTGAGGAATGTTCAAGCTTAATGCAAAATCTGATGCAGATATTTTGCTCTACTAATCCAGTCATTCTGAATGTGACAGCCACACAGGACACATGCTCTCTCAATGGCACCTTTCGCCCTCACTGACTAATACAGTGAAATCATCATTGTTCATGCATGCACATTCCAATTCACTGTCCTTGGATGCCAGGTTTCATCAATGTTGTGCAAACCATTCTCATTACATTAACAGTGGCTGGACTTTTTCTGGACAGACCCTACTGTATTCATTAACAGAGGAAATGCTGTAAAAGATTTAAGCCAAAATCTTTTTTCCTCAATATAGCAATTGAAGATGATGCTGGTTTACCTAGGATATAGAATTTCATGTCATGTACTTCAAGTTGACATCATACATACATATATATATTTATATTTGAAAGTACTGTTTTGCTAGGAGTCTTTCTAACTTGTTGATTAGAAAACAAAATGGCAATTTGACAATGTGTATCAGAAGCCTCAAAAATGTTCCTAACAGGTAATTTTATTTCTAAAAGTTTATACTAATTAAATAATAATTCACATACATATGTAGAAAAGTGGTCATTGCAGTCTTATTTTTATGAAAAGAGGGAAGTCACCTGAATATACAATAAAAGGGTAAAGATTTAATTATGATAACCAATTATTATGCTCTTAGGTATATACTTGAAAAAATATGTATGTTCACCAAAAGGTATACACAGATGTTCATAAAAACACTGTTTATAATAGCTCCAAATTGGAATATATTGAAGTGTTATCTATAGTGGAATAGATATGTAATTTTTAATATATGCATATAATGGCATATTATGTATTAATGGGGAAGAACTAACTATTGCCAAAAAAAGAGGATGAATTTCAACAACATAAGGTTGCATAAAAAAGCCAGACATAAAAATTCCATGTTTTTAAATTTCTAAAATATATAATACTAAAACTAATATGGCAATGCTATGAAATGGGATTTTATGCAGGTATCAAAATATCCAAAGGCGTTGGAAAATGCTCATAATTTAATAAAAGACAGTAATGTTTTCAACTGTATATCTATGATCTCATTCCAGAAAAAAAAATAAGTTGCTATGGGAAGTGTCAGGGTCTCAATATGAAACATACAACACACTCAAGTGAAGATAATTAAAGGAGGATTTACGTTAAAAGGGTGGGCAGGGTGTGGGGGATCCACAAGGGGCGGTGTGGCAATAGAGCCGCTCCCCCCGCCGAATTGACGCAAAACCCAGGCCAGGGCTGTCCAGAGAGGTGAAGGGCAGTGGCCTTGGGGTGAGGGGCACAGCTTGGCCATGTTGAATTTGAAGGAGGAAGAAAGGGGAATAGCCTAACTCACTTCCTCCCTGCCTCCCAGTCTCCATTACCCAAGCCCGGCAAGAAGCCGATATGAGCCCCACGGCCGGCCCCGCAGACAGAGCGCAGGGGCTCGAGCGCGGGGTGTGGCGGGGCACGGTGGGCGTGTAGGGGACTGAATCCTTGGAGCACCCAGGGAGGGGGAGGTGCTGAAGAGGTGATCCTCTTTTTTCCTGTACATACTTTATTATTTTTTTACAGTTGCAAAAATATACGTAGTTTTTTAAAAATTCCGGGAAAAATATGTTTGTCAGAGTGTGTGTATGAAGAATGTGAGCCTGTGAAGCTCTGTATGTATGTAAATAAGTGTGTGTGTAGGAAGGAGAGGTGAGAGAGCAGGGTGGGGGAGGAGTAGGTCTGTGTGTGTTTAAGGGTGTACAAGTGAAGTGAGAGGGTGGTTCGCGTGTGCGTGTCTGTGGAATATGTATGTTAATGATAGAATGTATGTGCATATGAGATGCAGCCACAAGGTGTGTGTGAGAGAGCTTGTGAAAACATAGGTGAGCGTGTACAAGTGGATCTGGGACTGTGTGTGTAAGGGATGTGTGTGTGGAGTTGTCTGGGAGTAAGACATGCGAGATGGGGGCGCGGAGCAGGCAGAAGGATGTGTATTTGCGGTAGAACGCACGTGCCTGTGAGGATGCGCCAGTGGGTGCGAGACTGTGTTTGTGTGTGAAGGGCATATATAAAGGTGTTTAAGGCTGTTCTTGTGAGAAGTGTGTGGGAGGGGTGTGCGTGGAGGCGTGAGAGTGCTTATGCGATGTGAGCGCGTGGAGAGAAGATGGAAGATCCGAGTGAGCGGGTGGGTGAGGTAAACTGTGTGAAGGGACCCGTGTGCGTGGACGTGAGCACACAGGTGAGGGCATTTAGAGACCTCTATATACACAGGGAATTAGAGACGTGTCCCTCCAGGAAAAAGGAAACCCTGAAAGAAAATAAACCAAAAATGTTTATAATAGTGATCTCTAGTGTTGGAAACGCGGGGGGATTTTATTCACTTTTTTGTTATGGAGTCAGAAAAGCAATGAACATTTCAGTCTGTTTTCTACATTCCAAGAACACATGAAAAATACTGTAGCTTTCTATAAAAATAATAAAAATCTTGACTAGTAAATGTTTCTTAATAGGAAAGTGAAAATTGGAATCTCCTTTTTCAGTATATGACAAAATAGACATCTAAGGGAGTCCCTGGTTAATTCATCAAAGGAAATCTTGACTTTAAATTTCAGAATCATGTACATGTTTAGTTTTTCATGTAATTTCATTAATTTGTAGGTATTCAATAATTGAATACTGTTGCTTGCAAGCCAAGGCCCTGATTGGCTTGCATTAATGAGCTGGGAAAACAGAGTAATGTCCCATTCATTTCACGTTACTTCAGGGAGCAAAGAGATGTTAGGTTTTCCACAGTCTCAGAGCTTTAGACACTAGACATTAGACACTAACAGGGATTATCAGTGATGGAGGGCTTTAATAATTAGTATTTTTTTCTTCTAGTTTTGTGGGGATTTTTACTATTTTTACAGGGCTTATGTAATCGGGTTTCTCTCAAACTGATTTAAAAGCAGAGTTTTTCTCCTAAGTAGGTGAAAGGGCCCTGGAGTTTTCACTGATACTGCATTTCCTCTGCTCTTGCTTCATCCTACTAATAATAAAACAGGAGGTTTTCCCTATTTCAGGCTACATTTTATTAAAAGAAAACTTTGTGGCAGTAAGTGGCTGAAGTGTTATTCCATTTTTAAGTTAGTGAGAGCTTGTCTGTTTTCTGAAAGTGATTTGCTATCATCCATAACAGGTCTCTGCAGCCCAGTTTATTCGGCATTGTTACCTGGGGGCTCCATGGTACCCATGTAAGGAGGGGGAATTGATTGGGATCCTGGAAATGTATTTTACTTTTAAGTAGATAGGTTACAATAAAAAAGGGATTCTATGTATCATATTTTTCCCTTTACACTTAGAAAGTGACCTCAGCTATTAAAATGTGAACAGAGCAAACTGTAGTGCAGATGCTATTAAGTTTGGCTAGACCCAAGGCGGTCACGTTTGCAGAACATAGATCACTGACCCCTGAAAGAGCACTCAAACCTAAAAGGCTTTTCATTGTCCGATTGGTGCTTTGCCACTTGCCTCAACAGCCCATCTGTCGGACAGATTCACTTCAAATTACTTGGAAGTCATTAGTAAAATGTTGACAGAAACTATCTTCCAACCAACTATGACCCAAAGAAAGAACAACCGGCTTTACTCTGCCATATCGAACCACTGCTGTGGGTCGGTGAACACTTTATTTTCCCACTTGAACTTGAGCTCTTTGGAAAGATCACTCCTGCCAATCTTGCAGAGATGACGAGCCAGAAGGCGAAGTTTATCGGTGGCATTTGGGAGTGATTTTTTCCAGAAGCAAAGAAGTTCGTGGATCTGCTCTGTGAGATCATCTGGGTTCTTCAGTTTGATGAGCTGAACGGTGCTGCGGCGAAGAGGGAGGGACGAGGAGAGGCACGTGGCGTTTTCCTCCGAGAGCTCCTCAGCCAACCAGTAGAGCAAGTTATCCCACAGGGCTTCTGCCAGGCACATGGGGGACAGCGTGTTAGGGCTCTTTCTCAGGGGATGTGCTTATTTAACCCTCTGTACCTGTTTGCAGGAAATGTAAGTGCTATCTGGTTTGTCCTCTGAGTAGTAGAAAGATTTGGGGTCACCCAGGTGAACCATTGAGAGCCTTTGAATTTTGGGGGCTTTTTCCTGAGGAAACACCTGTTGCAGAGAGTTGGGAAATGCTTCTCAACTTTTTAACTTCCCTGTGAGCCAGAAGGGCTTGTCCAGTGCTGTGTAGGCCCTGTCCCACATAGTCTACTTTGTTATGACTAGGGTGCAGGCAAAACTTGATATTTTTAACAAGCTCTCAACCCGACTTTAAGTTGCACTATGGCAAAGGGTATTTTTTGGTTCAAAATATACTTTGTTTTCATTAAACTAATCTGATGCATAAATTATCGGAGCACCTGGACAGTTCTCACATACCCCCAACCACAGACGCACATGGACTCTCTAAGCTCCACTACCCAAAGAGCAGTTCCGTGGGAGGTTCTTCACACCAACATTACCCCGGCATCAGGACTAGTGTTTAGAACCACAAACGTCTCCTTCGTCTATACTCAGTATGTTCCACATACCTCTTCCCTTACCCTCTGACTCCTGTCTGCCACCTAAGCTCATGATTCATATTTCTGTTGTTATTTTCTTCATTGTGGAACTCAGACCCATCACTCAGTAAAAGCCCCAACTCTGCTTTCTGTCTCTTTCCACACGCCAGCACGAGCCTGCCTCACAGTCACTTTTTCCTGCTCTCATGCTCGCCACTGCTCCTTTTTTCCCTGGTCTGGTGTGAATAAAGACTATCTGCCACCTTCTACGCAGGTACTCCTTCTATCGACCTGCTCACACAAATCGCACTTGATTTTACACTACGCATCATCTTCATTCCACTTTTCTGTGGAGGCTACTCTGGCAATGGAGTCAATGCATCCTTGCTCTCTATTTTCACTTTCAAAGCAACATTCCGCTCCCATCATGCAGTACTTTGATTTCCCTGTCCATGCTCCATGGATAGGCCTTCCCCTCACTGTCCACATCACGTATCTGTTGCCATCAGCTGGCAAGATCATCAGCAACTATGTTCATCACCAGTAATGCCACTGACCACACAGTTCCTTAATCTTGTCAGCAATCAATGAGGCACGCATGACTCCATATTAGAAACGGACTCTCATGGCCAATTCTCATCAACCAGAAGTATTCCACCTCCACGGCCTCAGCTTCTCAATGTTACTGCCCACCAGCAATTGCCACAGCCTTTGTTTCATTGCTCCTGCTTCATATTCTCCTTGCCCCATCCCTACTAATACAGTCATTTACCCCTCTGATGGCCCTGGCCACTCAGTTATCCCCACTGGGTTTCACATGCTTCTCCCAACTGATGACTAATTGTGTACTTCAAGAAAGGTCTTGAATCTTCCTTAAGTTCTGTTGTCCGCTTTAGCTTTCATTGTTGTCATTTTGTCAATCCTCAGTTCTGCTTTCCTCACACTGTATGCAACTAACTACTGGGCTGCCCAGGGTTATGAACCTATGCTGAATACGATCAACAACCTCTAGGCTTTTTACACCATTTGAGCTCTTAGCACCTTAAAATCCAGTAAAAAAAAAAAAAAATCCTTTTCTCGGACTCACTTTAAATTTTCCCAGAGCAATGACTTAAATCTCTTCTATTATCTTTAAGTCCCGAACTCACACTCATTCTGTTTCCCTCAGCCGATTCTCCTACTTTTCCCAAAGCCATTTGACCTGAGTTCTCGTAACTTTGTTTTCATTTCAAAATCATTTTCTTACAAAATTTCACTCCTCGTGTTTGCCAGATTCCATCCCCCACAGTGTTTTTCATCAAGTAATTGCACTCTGCACCTGTTCCTTAATCTCTTCCTCACCACAGGTTCTTGCCATACTTTTTACAAACACTCTCAAGTCTCTCTTTTCTCTGCTCCTGCTATGAGCTCTCTCTCCCCTTCTTTTACCATAAAATCTTTTTTTTTTTTCAGAGCTAAAGGACAAGGACCTCTATTTTATTATCATTTTTTAAACTTTCAGTATTATTTTCTATTGGTTTCAGGTGTACAGCATAATGCTTAGACAATAATATACTTCAGAGAATATTCCCCCTGACATTTCTGGTACCCATCTGGCAACATACCTAGTTATCACAAAATTATTGACTATATTCCCTATACTGTGGTTTCTCTTCAGATTGTATACATCTTTTGCCTTCTACCATAAAATGTTTTAATGCCTAACATAAACTTGATGCCTCAGGTTCATCACTACTGACTCACCTCTTAAAATGTCGCTTTAGGGATTCTGTACCTTCTTTTAAAATTATTGAAGCCCTTCCAATCTTCCTAGAGCCCTCCTAATTACTACCTACAACAGCTGATGCTCAGTCTGCATCTTCTCTGATTTCACAAGGCATTTAACTCCTTCCCTTGAGTTCCGTGGCCAACCCAGGTTCTGCCCTCCCCTCTCCTACACATACGTCTTTCTGCTTTGCTGAGTCCCTTCCTCGTGCTACTGCTGAATTACTGCTTCCTCTCTCAGGCCTCTCCTATTTCTATCATCTCCCCTCAACGAATTCATCAGCTCTTACTGGCTTAACCATCTCCTCTTTATGAAATAGCCCAGATCTACTATATTTTCCTCTGCAGATCTGTTTTCCTAAATTCTGGTATAGCATTTGCAGTGTTCACCTCCTAATTATCTTTACCAGTGTAAGCCACAGTGAATTCATACTTCCTGTTTCTCAAATCAAAATCACCTTCAGCCTTTTCCTCTCTTCACCTGATCTTTTCACTCTATCAACTTTTATAATAAATGTGACCACTCAGTTGAGCAAGCTAAAACATGTAATATTATTCAAATTTTTCAAAGCCTATTTTTTTCACCCTTGTTCCTGAGTTCTAGTGGCCCTAACTCTAAACATGCCTCAGATACTTCCCCCACTTTCCAGACTTACTGACTTGGTCTCAATCATGACCTGCCTCTCTCTTCTGGAGAATTACAGGAACCAGGGTGCCAATTCGTATCTCTGCTATCAGTTTTGACTAATTTTAGTCTTTCACCCAATTAATAAATAGAAGTTTTTAGTCTAATCTGATTTTAGCTATTTCTTGTTAATAAATCCCTTTCTAAAAAGATTTTATTTATTTATTTTTAGAGAGAGGAGAAGGGAGGGAGAAAGAGAGGGAGAGAAGCATCAATGTGTGAGAGATACATCAATCAGTTGCCTCTTGTACGCCCCCAGCTGGGGACCTGGCCCACAACCCAGGCATGTGCCCTGACTTGAGAATCGAATCAGCAACTTTTTGGTTCACAGGCCAGCACTCAACCCACTGAGGCACACCAGCCAGGGCAATAAATGTCTTACAAACTACTGTCTCTACTTCTTCACTTAGCATTTAAAGCTTTTTATGGTTTAATCCTGCTCTGATGTCATCTCCGTTATCCTTCCTCCAACGGTTCAAATGGCATTGGCTATGCAAGGCCACGCAGTGTAACAGCCTAGGACTTCCTGGAGCGTGCAGGAAAGACCAGGATCAGGATACCCCGTGCTTTCCAGTGGTTGTGACAATGGTAGTGAGAATGCTACTTTTATGTGAACATCAAATTCTTCAGGAGTTAACCAACTTGCTGGGCTTTCATCTACTGCTGTTGTTTTGGTTTGATTTGGTTTGGTTTCTTATTTGGGGGCAGGATTGGCTTTGGTGTTATTTATCTTGTTCTTACTGTTATCGCCTGCTCTCTCTTTGAAAAGTTTTATTGCCTCTGAGAGGATCTATCCCACTAAGGTTTATTTCCTTCTTACTTTCTTCTTATGTAATTTCAGTAGAGCCCACACATTTTCTGTACAAACCCATAAAGGCAGCCCCCGAATGGAATGCTTTGCCATCAGCAGTGGGTCTGACACAGTAGCAAAGCACACTCACTTACGTCTTTGTAAGGCCAATAAATTATCACAGTAGTAACTATTAACACCATAAAATGAATTGCCTCAAAGACTAAAGTAGAATAAAAGTGTCAAATTCTACCCTGAAATAGGCACCATTATTATGTAATTGATTTACGCAAAACCACAATCAAATATCACAAGTTTCCTTTTTGGTTTCACATGCTATACCTCCATTTAAAGTCTGTTGCTCTCCAATGTAGATTTGAAGTGACCACACTTCAAAGCTCACAATTAATAGTCAACATTTCAGAACAAACTGTGGTGGTCTGTTTACCAAACTAAGCAAGTACTGGCTATCTTAGTAAAATAATACTTAGGAGGGTTCATATTTCTTGTAGATTTTAATAAAATTTTAATTATGTCTACATTCAATGTTTTGACTTAAGCATGCATGATTTCCAAAGGAAAACAGTTATTAAGCTGATAAACCTAGTGTTTATTTATTTGCAAAGTTCTCTTCTTTTTTCTAATAAAAAGAAGCACATAAAGTATAAGATATATGAGAAAAAAAGCGCCTCTGGTATAAGGACACTCTTACCTAGAGGATCTGTAGAAATTCTTTTGGTACTCTGTGGCCGGTTGATTAATTTTTCATGCTATTGGGGAAAGAGACACAGAATAAGTAGAAGAAATCATTAATTTGCGAACAAACTGTAAGTACAAATCCATCTGAACCTCACCCCTATTTGAAAGAAGTAATGAATGGCATGCCTTGCAAAATTAGATTATGTATTTGTGCATGCATGCTCAGCAATTGTTTCCTAAGATAAGGCAAAATACATTAACCCAAATCTTTCAGAAAATTTAAATTAAGAATACACATTTAAATATTACTATTGCAGTCACATTATCTGTGAGTAGACAGTTTTCCAACTATAATTTAAAACTGTTAAACACAGCAAACATAGGGCAATCTGCCTCTGTGCTACAAACATAGGATTTTGGAAAAGCCTTCAAGGGCCAGGCACCTGCTTAGACACCCAAAACGAGAGTTTTAGGGAATAACTGCATGAATCAATGTGCATATGTGATGTTGAAAACAATCAAGTCTTTGAGCAGATATTATTCTACAACCAATATTTTATCAAGAAATAATCAAATATATAACTATTCCTTTTGTACACGGTCTGTGGAAAGAACACTTTGTTCTCATTTAATTTAGGATCATTGAAAACAGCTCAGGAGATAAATTAAAAATATCTGGATTTGGAAGTCTGTTAAGTGATCTGGACAATTTATCTTCATCTCAGCTCTGAAATGTGATTCTTATATGTATTTTTAAAACACACATCACATTAAATAATGGAATTCTACTCGGCCATAAAAAAGAAGAAAATTGTACCCTTTGCAACAGTATGGATAGACCTGGAGAATTTTATGCTAAGTGAAATAATCCAGTCAGAGAAAGACAAATACCATATGATTTCACTCATATGGGGAATCTAACAAACAAACTGAACTAATGAGGAAAACAGAGACAGACTCATAGATGGAGAACAGATGACAGCCAATGGGGTAGCTAGGGGGTGGGAGGATTGAGCAAAAAGGAAAAAGGGCTCATGGACCACAGTGTGGTGATTGCTGGAGGGGTGTGGGGCAGGTGGGTAGGTATACAGGGACTAAATGGTAATGGGAAAAATACAATAAAGATTAAATTTTAAAAAATATTTAAAAATAAAAACACATAACAAAAATCTGTACAGAAGCGCATAGCAGCTTTACTTGGAATAGCCAAAAATACTGAAGGCAACTAATATTTTCCTCAATAGGTAAATGAAGTATGGTACATCCACACTAGGGTTACTTTTCAGTAGTAAAAAGTATGAGCCACGGATACATACAACAGTTTGCAGGAACCTCAGGGAATTACACCAACTGAAAGATTCCAGTTTCAAGGTCACCTGTTCCATGACTCCATTTTCCTCACGATCTTGAAATTACAGAATTATAAAGATGTAGAGCAGACTAATGATTGCCAGGCATTACGGATGGAGGGGGAGGGCCGTAAGGGTAGCAGAAGGGGGATCTTTGTGATGGTAGAAGAGTTCTGTGTCTTGAGTGCAGCGGTTACATGAATTTCGCATGAGATAAAAATGACAGAGTGCATTACAGTACAATACAGTACATTATATCAATGACAACTTCCTGGTTTTGATATCATACTATACTTATGTAAGATGTAACCACTGAGGAAAACCAAGTGAGGAGTACATGGGACCTCTCTGAACTTTTACAACTTCTGGTTAATTTATAATTGTTTCAAAATAATGTTTTTTAAAGCCTACTTTACAGCAATGATACGAGGAGGACGAAACTCTCTATATGAATAAGTAGGATATTGTCTAAATTATAGTGAGCAGTCAATACAAGTTTATTAAATCTGAGTATTATTTTGTAGGTACTCTTATCAAAGACATTATGTAAACATGGATATAGAACTTCCATTAAGAGGTTTTTATGGGAGGCAAGTAAGAAAGAACATAACAACCCAAGTTCAAATATACTAATATTGTAGCACTGCAAAATAATTACATAGAATTATCAAGACATTGACTACGTGCTTAAAACTTTCAAAAAATGAGAGATATACCAATTTAAATAGTGCATCAAATCCTATCATTCTCGTCAAAGGACATACGGACTTGATTGAGCCTGGGACAAGAGATATACATTGCATGTTTTCTTTGTATAAATAATTCCCCCTCAGTAATTTTTTCCCTTCAGAAATGTCTCATAGCAGCTTGATGCATTCCAAGTGATTATAGAATTTAAATATATGTATTCTTTCATATGCATGAAGATTCAAGCCAAGTCCTTCATCTGGCAGGCAACCATAGAAGCAGTGGAAGGTGGCGGAGCAGCACAGGAAATCCCTGGTTCTGTTAGATATTCAGGTGCATTGCTAGTCTCACATGTTACCTCTTCATCAGGGATGTTCAATGATCCCTTCCCCTCCCCTTCTTTTTTCTGTATTGCTGGATTTTTAATCTGTGCATTATTTTTGCCTTGCACATTACTTTGTAAGTCTCACTGGTGCTCAGGGTTGGCTCCAAGCCAAACTAGTGTTTGCTCGTTCTACATATTATTCCCTCCCACAGATTTCTGGTGTCTATCTGTAGTTCTCTGGATGATTCTTCCTTAGTGGGGCTGTTTCTAATTATTCTCTACTTTTCTCTCCCATTCGAAAAGCACTATTCTGCTCCATCTTCTCCGGTTCGACTATTTGCTAAAGAAAGTTTTGTTATTTCTCTGAGGTAACCTGATTTATATCGATGCTTCCCAGAATTTCACACGTATTTTGAAGTGCTAAGTGGAAATCGCGACATAAAATTATATCTCTGAATCATATAGTGATATCCTATTTTAAATTTTAACTTGGGTGCTCACTAATTCCAAGGGACCCCACAATACTATTGCTGTTTAGCAGAGAGAGAGAGAATAAGCAGTAGAGCTTTCCTCTTGAATTTCTACTTGCCTACAAGTTCTTTGGCATCTGCTGCAGAGCCAGCATTTGTGTAGGATGGTGCTAAGGACTTCAGGACATTGAAGCTCCATTTAACAGGGATGCCACATTACATTACAGGTAAACGTCACTGCAATCCATGAAGAGAATTTCTCAAGTAGTTATTATAATATCACGTGGCAGCAACTCCCCAGGCAGCCTCAACCCCCACATTCTCCCCACCTCCACATGCTTATTGTAGATTTTTCTAGTAAATAGGTTGGTTATTTCTTTAGTAGTTAGAAGATATACAAGTGAAAGCAGTGTGAATAATAGATCAAGGAAGTAGATAGAATCAGTATATTTCTCTGTGTCTTTAGCAGGGATTTTACCATAATCCTTTTAGATGCCATGACTAAGTACTGGTTTTCACTACTTACTGTGTTGTATATTAATTTTGCATAGAGGCCTCTTCCACTAAGTCATAGTTGCCATTTGCTTAACTTGAGTTCATCTATTGCATCATAATAGTAAACATTTATATTCTCAATCTTTATAATGTACAAATCCTACAGAATCGCATTGTAAATAAGTTAGAAGACTGATAAAAGAGGTCATCTGGTCAAAAGACTAATGGTAGCATAAGAACTTTGTGTTGCATTCATGCGTCCAACATACCTACAAACCAAGTAAAAGCTCCTATCACTGTTGAGTAAGGACAAACTGGTATGAACTGGGTTAAACTACTGGTTTCCAGTAAGTCATGTAAGAAGCCAGAAGTTGTCATTCTGTCCTGACAACAAGTAAAAAGCTGAATAAACTGAAAAAAAAAAAAGAATCAACAACTTTCTTTAATCTGTAAGGGAAGTAAGGTCACATGTCAGACCTCTGCCCTAACTTGGAGAAGAGTGATAGGCAAAAACAGAGAACAGCAGCTTCACAGTGTACAAACCCACAAGCACTGACCATGGGGAACTGGGGCCAAGGTAGGGGAGCCTGAACTGCAATCCACACCCTGTTGGAGGCTCGGTGTCCACACTGGTCTGAGAGTTAAAAACTTCAGGGCTCCCAGTCAAGGACGCCCCCACACTTTTGAGAACTTCACTTCCACAGCCCCTACCAGGTTCTCACAGTGAATATCTAAAAAACATCCCCACGTGTGGCTGGCAGGCACTGGGCAAAAGGAACCATTTTAAAGCACAGCAAAGCATTCTGCTCTTCCTAACAAGGTCTGCTCTCAGAAGAAACGATTTAACCAAACCCTTACCTGCTGGAGATTTACCAGCATCTGACTACCGTGGGGGAAGGGAAATACACAACTTTGGGATCTAGACTTGCCGGACACCCTGAAGGGGCAAAGGGTATGAGAAGCCATGTGGCATGGAGGTAAAAGTGGCAGGTGTGTAAAATAAACAAGGATCTGACTGGCTCAGGGAAGAAGCAGAGAGAGAACGGCACAAGAGAAGAATGACTTTGAAGCCTGGGTCCTCATCCAGGCGGCCTCTGCCCTGTGAAGTCCTGCAAGTTGAGACAAGCCATCTAAACATTCTTGCTCAACTCTCTAACTGGTGAAACAGAGATGGTGGCTCCCACCTCTGAAGTATGCTGTGAGCGTAGACTGAAAGAATGTTTTTAAAGGATATAACCTGCACTGAGGGTTCAACCACCGGTGGCAGACACGCAAGCCAAATGCAACATGTTGGCATTTTTAGGACTCTTTTCTTTTTTAACAAATTAACCATGAAAAGAGAAAAAAGTCAGTGAATATAGAAAATGCCTGAATAGTAGATACTATTACATAATAATAGCCAATTTTATTGGGTATAGTGATGGTATTGTGTTTTTTTTTTTTTTTAAGTTCTTACTTCTTAAAAAACATACAGAAGTCCTTACAAGAAAGGGGTATAGTACCTGGGATTTGCTTTAAATATAAACAAACAAGCCCAGGGGTATCAGATAAAAGAGTGGCAGAAAATGACGGGTGATGCGTCCATGTAGGCTCATGGTATATTTTCTCTATTTTTGTGTGCCTTTGAAAATTTCCACACAAGCACGTGCACCAAAACAAGAGGAAAAAAAAAACACAAAACTTTAACATAAATGAATTAAAAGACAGCTGCATCAGTCAATCAATATCCTGTTGTTTTCATCCTG